TATGTTATAATCAACATGACACAATTAAGAATTGGAAGGGCAAAGGACAACAATTAAGAATTGAATGGTTCAGCTTGTACAAACTAGTTTAGCAGATGAGGAAGGATTGATTCAAACCAAAGCTTCATCGAAAGGTGATCTATGGTTGTGACTAGAGAGAGAAAAAAAAGAGAATTAGATTGATGAAAAAGTGATGGAATTACAGTGAGAATGAATGATTGAATGAATTACAGTGAGAGAGAGTTAGATTGAATGAATGATTCAAAAAGACTCATTGAGTCGAGAGAGAGAGAGTTCATACCGTTGGTAATCTATAGAGCGAAATCGATCACAAGCAATCCCACAGTTCTTGAGAATTGATCACAACCAATTTCTTTAGACGATCGAACAAGTGAAATAAGATTTCACGATTGAGCGAAATCAGATTCTTCATCATGACCATGGTCTCTTTTTCAGACGATTGAGCGAACGAAATCAGATTTGAGGGAAATCAGTCGGGAGTGTGAGAGTGAAAAGGGTTAGGGCATAGGTATAAGAAAAGGGCAAAATAAATAAAAGAAAAAATTATCAAAGTTGTCATTGCAAATATTATTTTTTGCGACGGTCAAATAATCAGTCGCAAAAAACCACTTTTCTAGTAGTGAAAACAATTTAGAATCAAGTAAAATTAAGATGTTTTCATCACAACTACACTAAAAGAGGGTTTTTTTTTGTTTTGTTATCCTACCATCAATGATATGTTTTAATTATTAAATGATAAAAACATGTGTAATAATGCAAATGGTAAAACTTCAAGGCAAAAAAAAAAGAAGAAAAAAATCACAAAAACTCCATTTATGATAAAACATAAATACATTCCACTCTTGGAGTTTCGTAATTATAGTTTGCTTTATGTTAGAGTACACCTGATAACATTGCAAATTATGTGTCAATTGCTAGTTAATATTCATAATTGTAGTTCAACAGACTATTGTTATGAAAAATATGAATCAGGTAGAACAAACTATAACAGAAGAATCAAAGTAAACTAGAATACTTTCTCCTGATCAGGAATTGTACATCAATTTTGTGCACAAAGTAACATTGGTTAACAGGGCCCTCTTATAGACCTAGGTGACAATTTGAGTAGACAATCCCTTCATCTGGAAAATCCAAATCTACTTAAAATGAAGTTTCCATACCTCTCGAACATTGGAGGAATCATCTGCAACTTCAGAAACCAGGCTAGCTTCCATCACACCTGACAAAGAGAACCATCTTATCAACACTCTATACCATACAAATAGGCTATACGTATCGTTAAGGTTGTGCTTGAATCATAGATTTCGATAGATTTTTAGAAAAGGAAAAGGAAAATGTAAGAAAGATGTGAATTTAATCTTTGAAATATATTATGCATGCAAATGGAATTCATGGCCCTGTTTGGTAGAGCTGTGGGAAAGTGCTTATAGCTTATGCCTAAACAGCTTATAGCTTATAACTATGAACATAAACTGATTTTTGACTTATAAATTAAGCATCTCCTGCCCCACTCAAAGAATAAGCTGATTTCTGACTTCTAAAAAGTTATAAGCTATAAGCTATAAGCTATCAGCTAAACCAAACACATCAAAATAGCTTAAATTAAGCTGAAAGTTGAAATAAGCAGCTTTTAAGCTGCACCAAATAGGCACATAAACAACATATGTATGGACACATTTAAAACATATTGATGTGCCTTCATGTACAACTAAAACTATATTCTTGAAATTCGCACCTTCATGGACGATAATGAACTCCCGGGAGGATGAGTCATATCTTCGGAGCTGCCAAAATCAATCGAAGAATCAAGAATCTCCATCATTGGATGTCCTAAATAAGTATATTTTTTGACTTTTTATGAAATATAGATTGGGTATGAGTTGAGTTTGAAATGATGTGATAGAGAGGTGATGCGACTTAAATAGGATAGTAACTTTTTGACTTTTTAGATTTTTTTGAGGATGCCAAACTTGGCCTATGCTTCTTCAAGATGTTGCCTGGATGAGCTCGTGAAGATCATTGAATGCGAGAAAACAATTGGGCAAAAATTTAGTAAGTTTGTGTATTTATTAATTTTTTAAAATATTTTTTTTATAAATATTTTACATATCATTTAAAAAGTAAAAATTTATTTAAAATATTTTTAAAAAATACATAAAATAAAAAATTTAATTTTCAAAAATTTTGAGTTTAAAAATTAGAACCAAATTAGGTAAATATGATTTTGAATTCCCATGATTTTAACTTTTGTAACGTATTGAAATAAAAAAGTGATTCATAATTATATGTTTAAATAGGAATCACATTCTTAAATTAAGAGAAATAATGAGATTTTCATTCCCTCAAAATTCATGTTATAACTTAAAGTTTGACTCATTTGCGACTATGTGGTGTTTCGGAAAGAAGATAAAAAATTAACTTTTTGACATTTTAATTTTTTTTTACTATTTTATGTGAGAAAAAATAATATAGCCCAAAATAGATAAACAGTTGAGTTTTAGTTTTTTCAGTGTGTTTCCAAAACACACCTATATTTTCAAGTAGCATTTTCATGAAGCAACCAAGAACAGAACTGCAATGAATTCGATGAACAAATAAATAATAAAGGATAAAAACAAAAGCCAATAAGTTTACCCCCAAACAAGGCAAAGAACAAATTCCTCACCATTTTATATCCCCTCTCTTCCATGCCCTCCTTATTTCTTCCATGATTTGATTTAGCACAAGAAAACTCCACAAATGGATTACAGCCGCATGATCTTCGCGGTGATCGGCTTCTCGGCCTCATTCTTCCTGTGTCTGCCAAACTTGAAGAAATGGCAGCATAGACAAATGGTGAGAGAGAAAATGAAGATGATAAGCAAGGCATTAAAACATGCCGAAGAAAGAGCAATAAGGTACGAAGAGAGGCACGACCGCATTCTAAAACAGATATGCTCGTATTACCTCTTGAATCAGGAGCTGCTGGAGGCATTGTCAGCAGCCAAAACCGCCATGGACGGAGCTCTGCAGTTTGCTACTGATCTCAGAGATTTGCAAATCAAAAACAGATTATATATTTTAAACCGTGAATCAAATCAATCTGTAATTAACAAGTGAATCGGTGTGAATTGAACAATTTTACAGATTAGCCCTGACTACTACTACTCTCACTTTTGTTAAAAGAGGTTGTTTACCAAACCATCATAGAATTATTGCTACTTTGTCTTTTTATTTTCCTTCATTTACCTAACTTCCCTTAATTAATAAAACTGATAGTTTGGCCCAAATATTTGGTACACTACATGTCATTGATGTATTAAAAATAATATCCACCAATACAACATTGACACATTATTTATTTATTAGTCTTACTTTTTGTCCCACTTTTTTCTGTTCTAAACACAAAATAATTAATAAAATTTCCTATTTAGTAAGTAAATTTGATCAAGTATTTAATGTTCCTAGAGCACATCATCTATTAAATTTTATTTTTATTTTGTCACAGTATACACATAGGTGGTGTTTGTTTTGAGGAATTGATGGGTGGGATTAGACTAATGATCCGTTCGGACTAATAGTCCGTTGTTTGGTTCAAAATTTTTGCACCGGACTATTAGTCCCAAATCCATTGGACCATTGTGTCTCATGGGGGAGAGGGTGGGACACAAATGGAGGGATAAGGGGAGATATGGGATTAGGTGATGAAATGATCATTTTGACCCTCTATTATTTAATTATGTATTATATTTAATAAAATTCAATAAAATTTAAATGTCTCAATTTAAAAATAAAATTATTTAATTTAATTTTTATTGATGTTTTACTTATTTAATTTTTTAAAATAAATTTTTATCAATATTTTATTGATGTTTTATTTTAAATTTTTTTTTATATTTTATTTTATTTCATTAAATTTTTATAGATGTTTTATTTAATTTCATTATTTAATTATTATTATTATTTAAAATAAATTTATTTAAAATTTTAATTAAAAAATAACATATGTTTTTATTGATATTTAATTTATTTAATTTTTTAAAAATAAATTTATTTAATTGTGCAAAAAATAAAATAAAATAAAATAATTTTTTATTTAATCTAGCTAAAGATAATTAAAATATTAAAGCTATGTATAATATTTCTATTACTTAGTAAATAATTGAAAATTATAAAATAGTCATTTGAACATTTATTATTTTCCATAATATCTCAAACAAACATAGGATTCATATCCTATCTAGCCAAATAGTTATTTCCTGACATCTAATCTTATGACTAAACAAACATGGGATCCATATCCAGTTTAACTAAATAGTCCGGGACAATGTATCTCAGGATTAACAGTCTGGTAAATTTCAATCCCCCCTATCTACTCCGTTCAAACAAAATGTAAATATTTTTAAAATAATAAGAAAAGTGTCAACTGATGAAGGGTATAGAGTGTTATTTTAAGAACATCTAATAATTTCAAATAATCATATATAAATATAATTTTTATGAAAAATGATGTGGCATCTTGTGCTTTCTTCGTCCTAAAGATATATACACATAATTGGGCATATAAAAGTATTTAGAAATCATTGCATGATCCAAATCTAAACCATATGTTATGGGACCCAAATTTAAGATAATTTAGGCCATACAATGATTTTTTTTTTTTTAGAATTATTTATGCGTATGAGTTCTATGTACTTCTTTTCATTTTATAACAAAATAAAATTCATAATTTTTAAAGAAACAATTTTACAAACTCACAAAAAAATACTTAAAAATTAATCAGAATTTGAATGGTATAGATTAGATTTATTGTTGATAAGGGCGCACAACACATCAAGTTAAATCACTACCAACTCTCTTTGTGAAAAATTTTATGGACATTTTTTTTTATTTATCTTTTTAGTTGTTCACAATATTTTTTAATATAAAAGAAAAAAAAAATTGTTTGTAAATAGGTTTTTGGCATAATGATACTTTTCATTTTTGACAATTACTTAAATAAACTATTCAAAGTTCCAAACCAGCTCCTCTGTCTCTCTCCATATATGTACATGTGTTGCCATACACAGTGATTCAACCCCAAAAACTCACACAAAAAGATATGGAAACTTTTCATTCTCTCTCCAAAGGAATAGCATGTCTCTCTCTCCTCCTCCTTCTTGTCTCTGCTGCTAACGCTGCCTTCATCGTACCCACAATTCCATTCAACAAAGGCTTCAATCCTCTCTTCGGCGACAGCAACATCGTCCGATCATCCGATGACAAAACCGTCGATCTTGTCCTCAACCAATACACAGGTTTATATACAGAAAATTATAGAATAATCATATCTCTTTTAGATGCTTGTTTTTGCGCATAAAAAAGCGATTCAATACACAAGAAAGATAACATGTCCACAGTCTTACCCAAATTCTAAAAAACGATTTTTTACTTTTAATAACAATAGATATTGGCCAACTGTATCGCCAGTATTAATAACATTATTTAAAACCCATAATTGAAGCTTAATAAATTTTGCTTCTTTTTCGCTGATCAAAAAGATAAGAAAATAAAAATAAATTTTGATGGTTACCCATTTATCTTTATATTTTATAGGTTCTGGGTTCAGGTCTTCGGAGCTCTACAACCATGGCTTGTTCAGTGCTAAAATAAAGTTGCCATCTGAATACACTGCTGGCATAGTTGTGGCCTTCTATGTACATCTTCTCTTACCCTTTTGTTTTTTGGAACTTGTTCTCTCATAATGTTTTTTTTTATTAATATGAATCATGATCATATAACTATAAATTTTATTTGTTTATTTTGTACAGACATCGAATGGAGATATATTTGAGAAAACACACGACGAATTGGACTTTGAATTTCTGGGAAATATTAGAGGAAAGAGGTGGAGATTTCAGACAAACGTGTATGGAAATGGAAGCACAAGTAGAGGAAGAGAAGAGAGATACACACTGTGGTTTGACCCCTCCAGAGAGTTCCATCGTTATAGCATACTGTGGACCAACAATAACATCATGTGAGTTTCCAAACCCCATCCCCCTCCCACCTACTCTAGAAAATATATATATTTCTATAATATCAATTGATTTTAATTTTCTAATTTGACCATTTCAATGGATTTGAAACCCCTATTCTAAAAAAAAATGGATTTGGAACATTCGTTTATACGCACACGCTTTGCTTGAATTGAGCTTTGATCCAAAATTGTAAAACGTGTATCTTAGGACACGTATGTATTTCCATAGTATTATTATCACTTTGGTTGGTAAAATTTTGGTCAGACAAGCTACATAAACCTATTATTTGTACAATTTTTTATTTAGAAAAAGGGGTAATTCAATTAGGAAAAATGCCTAAGACCCCAGTGGGGGTCACTGGGGGTCGCGTGTGTAGGAAGGTGATTGGCCCAAAAAAAAAAATTTTTTTTTCTTGTTTCAACGAATGGGGCGGTGCCACGTCACGGGGGTCTGAAGCACGGCCCTTCAACTAGTGACCTCTATTCTAAGTAAAGCGCACAGACTTTAGATATGTGATTAATTCTGTAATTATGAGGATGGCAACATGGTGGGTATATGTGTTTGAGGACCCTTACCACATCCCCATCCCATTCCTGTTTAGTAAATATTGTCTCATGTGTAATGAAAATGAATTTGTTCACACATTTTTTTAATGTGCGAATAATATACAAAATACAAAAAGTGTAATTAATGATCATCCTATCTAAAATGACAAGTCCTACTATTCTATACCAATTAAAATGTATGTATTATTTACACACTCAATCAAACTCTGTATCCAATCCCTACCCTCTAGACCCCTCTCTCACCGGCTCCATTCATACCCCACCTCCGATCCTACCAGCCTAATTTAGTTTTATAATTTATATTGCCAGTATTCAATTTGTATTTTACAGTTCATAATGAAAAACAATTTATAATAATGTGTTGTTGTTCGATATTGATCTGAGTGAGATTGTAGAATAAAAGTAGAAAGAGAATAGCCGCAACATTCAAAAAAACATGAAAGAAAAAAGAAAAAAAAAAATCCTAAAACTCAATAATGAAAATATGCATTTAGAAAAGGAAAAGGAAAAGAAAAAGAAAACACAAAAGATATTTTTTTAGTGGTACAAGGGTCGGGGTTACCCTCCCCACACTCAACCCAAACCTATGAGGGTGTTTTTTCTATTTTGATTCGTAGAATATTAAGAACTTCATTCATCAAGCAAAGTTTAATAAGATGCCATACTTCATTCATCAAGAAAAGTTTAATAAGATGCCATATTTGTTATATAAGAAAAAGAAACCTAAAAAAAGATTAAAAAATTAAAAAAAAAAAGAAAGACAAACCAAACTAAACAAAGAAAACACACGAGGGATAGAGGACAAATTCATCTTACAGAGAATTGATACAAAAACCCAATTTATTAACCTAAAAATTAGGCATGTTAAAATTTTAGTTCTCATGAATTTTTTCTTCTTCTTATACAAACAGTTTTTCCATAGATGATATTCCGATTCGTGAGATAGCACGAAGCGATGCCATGGGTGGAGACTTCCCTTCAAAACCAATGTCATTGTACGCCACCATATGGGATGCGTCAAATTGGGCTACCTCCGGTGGCAAATACAAGGTCAACTACAAGTACGCTCCCTTCGTGGCCAAATTCACCGATTTGTCCCTCCATGGATGTGCTGTTGATCCCATTCAGGAGGTCTTATCCACTAGTTGCTCTGAAAAAAATGATCAATTGGAAAGCACCAACTATGCTCGTGTCACGCCAAAGCAACGTGTGGCGATGAAGAGGTTTAGGCAAAAATACATGTACTATTCATATTGTTATGACACGGTAAGGTATCCAATTCCTCCACCAGAATGTGTGATTGATCCATTGATGAGGCAACAGTTCAAGGATACCGGGAGGATGAAGTTTGAGGAGAGGCGGCACCACCATTCTAAGAAAAGGAACCAGGTTTCAAGCATCAAGAACTATGGAGACCAGCATGAAGATTGATGTGTGTGAACTGGTATACAATTGGATTGTATAGTAATTTATATGATTTTTGGAATTTGGATTGTTGCTACAGGTTTATTTTTTCATGTGATTCTATAGTTGCTTGTGTGTGTGAATAAGATTGGATTTTTCAAATGTTACGAGTACCCATCATGTATATGGTCAATAAAATACAATATGCTTTTAAATATGAGATTGGTCAAGAGATTAGGTCTGTATTGATTGGGCTAACAGTTAAATAGCCAATGAAAACGAGGCATGCAATGGTTTTACTATGTCAATTAATTAAGAAAAAAAAAAGAACAAATATAGCATCTAGAAGCAACAGCGAGTCAGTTTAGGCATTAATGTAATGGGAGTAAATATGAGGAACCAAGATATCAATAATGAATCTTAATCATATATTTTAATTCTGAAATTTTCTCAAGTATATAGCACTAATGTTGTTCAAAGAATAATTCTGGTTATCTTGAAAAGTTATGCATAATTTTATCTCGGAGATTATGAATAAATTTTTTTATTAATTTTCTCATTATTTAATACAACTATTATTCAAAGAAATATGATGGTTCAAGCTCAAAAAAAGGAATTGATCAGCAGCTCAAAGAAAGGAATATAGTTTGCTAGACCAAAAATATTCGCCAATGGGAACGAGCACAAGACCAAAGGAATGATTCTTTCAAAAATCTAAGTGTGAAGATTTTTTGGGTATTGATGGGCCTCCCAAGGATATTCGGACAATCCCTACACTAACAACTATCATCAAAACAAACACAATTTTACTTAATCCTCTCATTTATCAATCCCTTCCATTCTATCTCTGAAAACAAACGGGGCCTAAAAGTATTCTATCTCTGAAAACAAACGGGGCCTAAAAGTTGCTCATATCCCTACTGAATTACTACCAATCACTCATAATGGGTGAAGGCTCACATTAAGAGTGATTAGTAATTAGGGAAATTACATTGACATTCCTTCAGATTTGTTTTTAATATAAATTACTCCCTTACTTTCTAGAAATTACATCTTATTCTTTGAAGTTTACAGTTCTCCCCTCCCCTAATCAACCGTCAGATAAACTAACACAATATGATGATGTCAGCATCTAAAATTTCCAGAATACTAATTTTGATCCTAATGTACCTTAATACATGCATGCCATTTTCCACTCTCACAACCTTTTTTCACAGCTCTTTCATCAAACACTTGGTAGCCACAACGTCAACACTTCTTCTCTCCTCTCTTGAGCCACTCTATTTTCCTCAAACCATTCTGTGCGTGTGCCTCTGCTCTTTCTCTATCTAAACAGATGTACATTCTAACACTGTCACTATTAAGCCCAAACTGTAATTACAACACCCACCAAGCTTTGTCATAAAAAAATAAATAAATCAATTTCTATTAAGATTCACTAGGTTTCATAGTGATTTATACGCAGGCTTTCTCAGTGAACCCAAAACAAGCAAATATTTGTGCAAGCCAATAAAGCATTTAAATGAGGTTGTTTTCTTCTTTAACCAATAACCCAAATCCAAGGAACTGAGGTTTAGAGTTTCTAAGCCATGAATAATCATGCTTGGGTCTTGTAAATAAAACACACTATTGCAGAAAATTGAAACCAAAAAAAAAACAAAGACCCAAGTAATCACCACAGCCACCAGAGATCCCTTCTACACTTCACATTATTGATGCCTTCAACTGGGTTTGCCGATTCCTCCAGCGCCACAATCAGTACCAAATACTGTTGGGACTTTTAACAAACAGTTGGCCTACATCAGTTTTGAACCACAACCATCACCAAATCAAACAGCAAAAGCATCACCAATATCAACCACTGTCGTATTAGGTTGGAGAATTGAGAGATGGATTTGCTGGGATTTGATTGACGGGTTTTAAACCTTAGACCTCCTCATCTCGCTGCAAGGATCTGCTCACGTTTATTGGCGGCCGGAAGAGTTTGTGGGCTGACACACCCAGGCAATACTCCGTTGCCATCGCCAAATCGATCGGGGGGTTGTGGGAGGTGGGTGATGGTGGCGATAGAGGTGAGTGATGGTGGGTTGCCGAAAATGCGTTGCGGCGGTGGTCGCTGGTCAGCAATGGTACTAGGTTGTGGTGACCTTGGGAGGATTATTGATTTTGAGAGAGATGAGATAGGGCTGAACTTGAACTGGGGAGAGACGTGGATGGTAGAAGATGGAAGTGTAAGGATAAGAGCATTCCTAACGATTTTACATCTTTTTTTTAAAAAAATAAAAAATTATTTGATATCAAGCGATCTAATAAAAAAAAATATTTTTTTTTATCAAATTACGGACGACTAAAAGGATTTTCGGTCTATCAATCGGTTAATGTAAATTTATTAGAAGTTTGAAGCAACAAATAAGTTGTTTCGGAGGATAATTGGTCGTTCGTTCAGTGTACGGTTCCAACGGCTATTTACAATAATTTGATGAAAAGCTTGAGGCATCTTCAGCCTCCGTTTGGGAAGTGGGTTGGCTTTTTGGTTTTTTGGCTTTTTGACTTTTTTAACCTGGGCTATTTTAGCCTGATTTGGGAAGGGCTTTTTGACTTTTTGGCTTTTTTGACTTTTTTTGTGAGAGAAGA